GTCCGCACGCCCCCCGGGCTGCTTTTCTAGGCTGGGGCGGGCCTAACTCTGGAGTGACAGGTTGAGGGGCTCTGCGGGGTCCCACAGGAGACAGGACGGGGTTGTGGAGGGAAATGACTCCAATACAAGACTGGGACTGGGGGCCGGGGGCTGGCAGGGTGTTAGGTGGCCACCGTTAGAGTCTGGGTAATTGGTAGATGCTGAGAGAGCTGGGGGTTCCGGTGACGCGGTGGAGACTGTGAGAGGCCTCTAGGGGTTACCCACTGTCCAGATTCTTGGAAGGAACAGGTTGGGGGTGAAGGAATGTCTTGGGGAGTCTAAAGGCCTAAGGGTTCTAACTCGTCTCTAAAGAGTGATGGGCTGCCAGGTGAGATCTTTGTGGAACTGGGCATCGTTCCGGGTCTGTGTACCAGCTACTGTGTACCAGGGGGTCTCTGGAGGTGAAGTCTCTGGGGAGTCGTGGTGTGTAGGGAACCTGGAGGCTTCTGGGGTGTCTCTCAGGATTTTGTTGAGAGGAGCTGGGGTAACCTCAGTGTTGCTGGGATTTGAAGTCTCCATCTGAGCACCCTCACAGGCCTCCTTCAGGGAGGCCGACTGAGTGTTTTAAGTTAGAGGAAACAGGTTTATGGGGGACAGCAGAATGGTGTGGAATTGGGGGTCACAAGTGACTGGCTCTGAGCTTTCTCTCTCTGTTTTTCTTTTCCCAAAGTAGTGAAGAAACTTCATTCAAAGCAAATTAGTAGTGGAGTCAGAGAAGACACTGTGACAGCAGGCACACACGTGAAGGCACTCAAGGGCTGTGTTTTGGAGATGGGCTCTCATGGCTTTGAACTCTTCCTGGAGCCAAGCACGAGCTTGAACCCCTTATCATCTGCTGGGGTGACAGGCTTGTGCCACCAGATCTGGTTGCCACTATTTGAGGGTGTAGCACAGGACTTTGCACGCTGAGCAGGTTACCCACTTAGCCCAGGCCACGGCTGTTGTTTTACTTTTTGAGAGGGGTTCTTATGGAATCCAGCTTCCCATATTTCTTCTTTCTTTTTCCTTTTCTCTCTTACCCCCCCCCCCTGTCTGTTTTTCTTGTCCAGGCTGCCCTGGAACTCGAGATCCTTCTGCCTCAGCCTCTGGAGTCACAGGGTGACAGGCAAGTAGCTGTCTTAAAAATTGAGTGGAGTGGAGCTGGGGAGCTGGCTCAGTACTCAGATCACCTCCAGTTCCAAGTGATCTACTGCCATCTTCTGGTCTCTGCTCCCACATGTGCACATACACACATAAAAATAAATAAATTAAACCAGTGTTTGTTTTTTAATGAGCAGAGTGTGGATGTATGAAGCACCAGTGTCACACAGGCAGCCATAGGCAGGGCCAGGCCGTGTGACTCGAGTCTGGCTGGCCACTGTGAACAGTCTTTGCTTTGAGAATTATCTTTTCTTCTTTTTTTGTTATTTGTTTTTTAATGATTTTGTTTATTGTATATACATTGGTGTTTTGCCTGTATGTATGTCTGTGAGGGTGTTGGATCCTCTAAAACTAGAGTTACAGACAGTTACAAGCTTCCACATGGGTGCCAGGAATTGAACCTGGGTCCTCTGGAAGAGCAACCAGTGCTCTCAACTGCTGAGCCATCTCTCCAGCCCTCTTTGTCTTTGCTTTAATGTTTTTGAAACTGAGTCTTGCTGGAACCCAGGTTGGCCTTAAACTCCTCATCCACTTGCCTGGGCCTTCCAGTCCTGGGCATTCCCTTCCGGCTGCGCCCAGTTCACCTGTTGTCCAGGAGCACCTGCCAAGCCCTGCCGGGGTCTCCCAAGGGGCCTGCTTTTCTGCTGGCCGAGTCTTGGGGCTCTGGATGAAAGAAGCTGAGGCTGGGAGAGGCCCTGGGAAGGGCCAGGCTGGACAGAGCTGTCTTTGTGCTTTGTGTGGGGGTGGCTTGGGCAGCTGCCAACCTGGGTGCCGGGGCATGTAGTAGGGACAAAAACACCGGATCCCTGCCTGCCGGCATGGGCCCACTGGTGGGAGAGGCAAGCTGGAGGGAAGGGCCCTGACAGGCCCACAGTGCTGCTGGACCCTGGCCTGCCTCTGCTCACAGGCCCACCAGCTGTGGCGGGCCTGGTTCCCATGTGTAGCTTCCAGAAGAATAGCTTCCTGCTCAGCTGACACACCCACCATCTTCACTGGTCCTCAGTCAGTTAGTGGAGCTCAAGTTACGGCCAGTTGGACATGTAGTAGGTGGAGGCAAGCATGCTGAGAGCAAGTTGGTTGGGGGTTGCTTATTGACCCTTAAGCATCATGCTTTTTCTGAGGTGCACACAATGAGCACCTGCTGTGTGCATCATCAGCATCTGTGCTATGAAAGGCCCATGGAACAGCTATGTTGAGTTTAGCTCATCTATGCTAACGTACCTCTCTGAGCCGTCAGCTTAGCCATCAAACCCCATCTGTGATCTGTGTGTGTCACAGTCCTACAGTGTAGGATAGCTGTAGACAACAGAGTGCTTGGTATATACGAGGTGTTTAATAAAGCTGGGGCCAACGTCTGCCTGGGCCACCCTATTTTAATTTTTTGGTGGTGGTATTGTTTGGTTTTCTTAATTATTCTGTTTAACTTAGCTTTACTATTCTCTGTTTATTCTGGTCCTTGGCCATGGTTCCAGGAATCACTCTAGGAACTAACTGATTGTTGGAGTTTGCCTCCACTAGCACCCTAGAAGACATAGCCTTGAGCCCCAGGCTGAGAGGCTTTGACCTCAGGATGAGCATGGAAAGCCAATGTTTTATCTTTTTTTTCCCCTTCTAATCCCAGATCCCGCTTCCTCCCCTCCTCCCTGTCCCCCCACCTTCCCTTCAGCCAAACCCTCATCTGCTCAACAGAGGGTAAGGGAGTCAATGAAGTCTGTCCCATCACCACATTGAGGGAGGACCAATGCCCCCTCTCCCCTGCTCCCGCTGTGTCCAGGCTGAGCAAGGTATCTCTCCATAGGAAATGGGCTCCAAAAAGCCAGTTCATGTACTAGGGTTAGATCCTGGTCCCACTGCCAGTGACCCACAAACTGCCTAAGCCTCCACTGTCACCTGCATTCAGGGGGCCTAGTTTAGTCCTATGCAGGTTCCCCAGCTGTCAGTCCAGAGTCAATGAGCTCCGACTAACTCAAGCCAGCTGTCTCTGTGGTTCTCCCCATCATGATCTTGACCCCTTTGCTCATATTATCGCTCCTCCTCCTCTTCGACTGGACTCTGGGAGTTCAGCCCAGTGGTTAGCTGTGGATCTCTGCATCTGCTTCCATCAGATACTGGATGAAGGTTCTATGATGACAGTTAAGGTAGTCCTCAATCTGATTACAGGGGAAGGCCAGTTCAGTCGCCCTCTCCACTATTGCTTAGAGGTTTTTTTTGTTTGTTTGTTTGTTTTTTAAGATTTTATTTTATCATATATCCAACATTCTGCTTCCATGTATATCTGCACACCAGAAGAGGGCACCAGATCTCATTACAGATGGTTGTGAGTCACCATGTGGTTGCTGGTAATTGAACTCAGGACCTCTAGAAGAACAGTCAGTGCTCTTAACCTCTGAGCCATCTCTCCAGCCCCCTTGCTTAGAGTTTTATCTGGGGTCATCCTTGTGTGTTCCAATTCAATCATCCAATTCCTTCATGTTCTCATCCCTACTCCCCTCCCCTTTGCCCCTCTCCCCTTCCACTCTTCCCCTCCCTCCCATGCTCCATAATTACCCAGAAGATCTTGTTATTTCCCCTTCCTAGACAGATCCATGTACGTCTCTCTTAGGGTCCTCTTTGTTGCCTAGCTTCTCTGGGGTTGTGGACTGTAGGCTGGTCATCCTTTGCTTTATATCTACTTATGAGTATTTAACATTTTTGTCTTTCCGGGGCTGGGTTACCTCACTCAGGATTTTTTTTCTTAGAATTTTTTTTCTAGTTCTATTTGCCTTCGAATTTCAAGATGTCAGTGTTTTGTTTTCCGCTGAGTAGTACTCCATTGTGTAAATGTACCACATTTTCTTTATCCATTCTTTGATTGAGGGGCATCTAGGTTGTTTCTAGGTTATGGCTATTATGAATAATGCTGCTATGAACATAGTTGAGCAAATGTTCTTGTGGTTTGGGTGAGCATCCTTTGGGTATGTGCCCCAAAGTGCTGTGTCTTGAGGTAGACTGATTCCCAATTTTCTGAGAAATAGCGATGCTGATTTCTAAAACGGCTGTACGAGTTTGCACTCCCACCAGCAATGGAGGAGTGTTTACCCTTCATATCCTCTATAAGCTGTGATTAGTGTTTTTGATTTTAGCCATTCTGACATGAGTAAGATGGTATCTCAGAGTTGTTTTGATTTGCATTTCCCTGATGGCTAAGGATGTTGAGCAATTCCTTAAATGTCTTTCAACCGTTTGAGTTTCTTCTGTTGAGAATTCTGTTTAGATGTGTACCCCACTTTTTAATTGGATTATTTGGTGTTTTGGTATCTAGTTTCTTGAGTTCTTTGTAAATTTTGGAGATAAGGCCTCTGTCAGATGTGGGGTTGGTGAAGATCTTTTCCCATTCTGTGGGCTGCCATTTTGTCTTGCAGACTGTGTCCTTTGCCTTACAGAAGCTTCTCAGTTTCCGGAGGTCCCATTTATTAATTATTGTTCTCAGTGTGGAAAGACAATTTTTAAAATTATTTAAATTTTTTATTTTACTGGATAAGTATGGGTGTTACACACACACACACACACACACACACACACACACACACACGATGTACATTCCTAGTGTCCAGAGAGACCAGAAGAGAGTGTCAAATCTCTTGGAACTGGAGTTACAGTTGGTTGTGAGCCACCATGAGAGTGCTGGTTACCCCTGAGCTGTTCCCCCAGTCCCCAATTTCATCTTGAGGCAGGGTCTTGCTGTGTAGTTCAGGTGTGTCTAGAAGCCCTAATCCCACCTCTGCCCTCATTGCTGATGCCAGGTATGCACCATCCACCAAGCTCTGACCAATCAACACATACCTTGTATCCCTTTGTATACTCACCTTACTTATGACGCACTGTTGACTGGGTGGCTCATGGTGAGCCTAACTTCCAGGGCAACCACCATGTCTGACAGCTTGTCTGCATGCAGTAGTCACCACAGCACCCTTGAAGACGGGTGTCTGGGCTGCTTTACAGCACGTGGTCACCACCAAGGAGCACAGACAAAGCCCTAAGGACCAGCAGGAGTTGCTGGTGTGCTGTGCTGAACAGGAGGAGAATGGTGCACACCATTCAACCTGGGGGGGGGGGCGTACATGTGCACAAGTGACTCCGATTTCTCTTCTGGGTGGCTGAGATGCAGGAGTAGGTCACAAGGCTTGCCATCAAGCCTGATGACCTGAGTTCAATCTCCAGGACCCTCAAGGTGGAGGGAGAGAATTGTCTCTCACAAGTCATCTTCTGATGTTCACACACACAGCAAATGAAACTTAAGAAAACGTGAAAACTTAAAATTCTCTTCATTTTGCAAGCATCCAGGAATGGTTGTCCTGGGCTCACAGACACAGGTGGCCTCCAGTGACAAGGGTGGGGTGTGTCTGCACACATGTGAATGCTCAAGTATGTGTGGAATTGGAGGACAATTTGCACGCCTTTAATCTTGATATTTGGGAGGCAGAGGCAGACAGATCTCTGTAGGTTTGAGGCCAGCCTGGTCTACACAGCAAGTTCTAGGATAGTCAGGTCTACACAGTGAAGCACTGTCTGGTTTTTTTTTTCTTAATTTAAAGCTTTTTAAACATTACATTAACATGTTTGAGGCAAGATTTTTAAAGAGACTCTGTATCCTGTAGCCCAGGCTAGCCTCACAATCACTGTGTAGCCCAGGCTAGCCTTGAGCTCATGATCTGCTTTTATGATAGCCAGCCCCCTTAGTGGTGACCTGTATTAGTTCTCAGAGCCAGCCCCTCTCCGATTGCACCTCTCAGGTTTCACTTCAAAGTCCTCACATAATCTGTCTCTCTTGAGTGCCGATGACCCCTACCAGCCCTGGGACACATATGACTGTTTCCAAGTGCTGCAGGATCCCTGGCTGACCGAGGCCCAGGTATTGGGTACTCTGGTCCCTCTGGGATTACTTGTAGCAGCCACTAAATTAGGAGAGCTGGACCTTGGGTTTTGGTCGTCTCCTTAAACTTCTCCTAACTTCTTTTCCTTCCCTACCCCTCTTTATTTTTAATTTTTACTTAATATTTTTATTTTTTTATTTATTTACTTTTTACATGCACAAATGTCTGGCCAGTGTGTGTGCCATGTGCATGCCTAGTGCCTGCAAGAGACAGAAGAAGACTTTGGGACAGGGGCTGGAGCTACAGACAGCCATGAGCAACCATGTCAGTGCTGGGAATCAAAGGCAGGTTCTCTGCAAGAGCAGTCAGTGCTCTAACCACCGAGCAAACTCTCCAGCCCCATTTTTTTTTTTTTTAAGTTTTGACACAAGAATCCTGCTCTATAGCAGCGGTTGGCTTCACACTCCCATCCCTGCTGCCTCAGCCCTGGATGCTAGGATGACAGGTGGCTAGGATGCCACCATGCCTGGCTCATTCCCTCCTGTGTGTCCAGGGAGACAACAGACAAGGATAGGGTGAGAAGCGCGTCTGCCATCCATGGCGTTGGAAGGTCCTGGGTGCCAGGGAAGATATACCAAGGCAGACACATTACCTCTGGGGGTCCAGGAGCATTTATGTAAGCATAGGGCAGTTGAACCAAGACCTGAGGGGAGTGCATGGCTAGTGCGGCCTTTGAGAAAGAACAGGGGAGGAAGAGTGCTGGGTATCTTCAGGGAGCCTTGTTTGTCTGCAGCCAGCGAGTGACAAGTGATGGGAATGGGGAAGGCATAGGGCAGTTTTTCTTTGTCCCTGGAGTCTCACCCAGGCACACAGGAGGGGTTGGACATCTAGGGAGAAATGAAAGCTGAGGCTGGGCGGCTGGATGGAGTGCTGACCTAGCGTGTCCTACTCCTTAAGGGCACACACCTTACAAACTTTGCTGCAGCTGTGTGGAGGCCACCACCTCCTCCCTCAGACCCACTGATAAGAGCCCTCATTTTACCTGCTACTCCCAGCATCACTGTGTCCTGCCCAGTGCTCATCACTGTTTGGGGATCACCTCTCAGAGCTCTATGATCCTGGAGGGATGGCGACAACTGCTCTGTCTTCAGAACAGCATTGCTTCAGTCAGCAGCCCAGGCAGGAAATGGACAGATGAGGGAGGGCATGAAGGGTGGGAGGAGACATGAGGATGAGGAGAGGGATGGATGAGTGAAGGAAGCTGGTGTGGCTCTGAAGCCCCAGGCAGGGTTGCCATGAGTTCAAGGCTAGCCTGGGCTAGGAAGGAGATATCAATGGGAGTCCAAGGTACTGGCAGGTTTGGTGTCTTCTCTTGGCCAGCCTGTGGTCACCATCTCTCTGTGTTCTATGGTGATGGGGTTGGGAACTTAAGGGACATCCCCAGAGAGAGGAACAAAAATGGGATCTGAGACCTTCCTGATAGCCAGGCCTGTCAACTCAAGTACTCCAGATGCTGAGTGAGGCAGGAAGAATGCAAGCTCCAGGCTAAAAGGCAGTTAGCCAGACCCTGACTCAAAAGTAAAAAGAGGGCTGGGGGTGAGGCTGGGGAGGGGACAGAGCCTCTGCCTAGAACTCCCCAAAGAGGAGCTGGGGGCGTGGCTCAGGGTGAAGCCCCTGCCTAGAATCCAGCCCTGAGGGCCTGGAGCATGGTAGCAGAGGGCTTGCAAAGTATGCATGTTGGCCTGGGTTCAACTGCAACATTAGAGAGAATAAGCAAAGGGTCTGACACCTGATACTCAGGTCACTAGGCCATTGGGAAGACTACATGGTGACTAACACTCATGTGGTAGACAGGCTGGCTTTGGGGATCCATAGCTTCCTGGCAGGTTGGTTAATGCTTCCTGCCCTGAGAATCAGCCATTAAAGGACTAAGTATACTAGACCCCCATCTGTCCTGGGGCCCTGATTGGAGAACTAAGGCTTGAGGCAGCTCTGGACAGTGACCTTGTACCCTTCTCTGCAGCGGCCTCTCAGTTCTGATTCGTGTGCGGCTGGAGCTGCGTCGACACCGGCGTGCAGGAGATACAATCCCACGCATCTTCCAGGCAGTGGCCAGACGACAGCCGGAGCGCCTGGCGCTGGTGGACGCGAGCAGTGGTGTATGCTGGACCTTTGCACAACTGGACACCTACTCCAATGCGGTGGCCAACCTATTCCACCAGCTAGGCTTCTCACCAGGCGATGTGGTGGCTGTGTTCCTGGAGGGCCGCCCCGAGTTCGTGGGGTTATGGCTGGGCCTGGCCAAGGCTGGTGTGGTGGCTGCCCTGCTCAATGTCAACCTGAGGAGAGAACCCCTGGCTTTCTGCCTGGGCACATCAGCTGCCAAGGCCCTCATTTATGGTGGGGAGATGGCAGCAGGTGAGGCCTGGTGGATACCAGGGGGTGGGGCCTAGGGAACCTTAGGGTTAGAGAGATGCTGGCAAGGGGCGCTTCATAACTGTGACCCTGAGCCTCATGTCACCACAGCGGTGGCAGAGGTGAGCGAGCAGCTGGGGAAGAGCCTCCTCAAGTTCTGCTCCGGAGACCTTGGACCTGAGAGTGTCCTACCCGACACGCAGCTCCTGGACCCCATGCTCGCCGAGGCACCCACCACACCCCTGGCACAAGCCCCAGGGAAGGGCATGGATGGTAAGTGGAGAGTCCCTGGCCATCTATCCCCTCTGCCCTCAGCTCTCCCAGTGCCTAACACCTGCTTCTCCTATAGATCGGCTGTTTTACATCTATACTTCGGGAACCACTGGACTTCCTAAGGCGGCCATTGTGGTGCACAGCCGGTGAGCAGGGCCCTAGGGCCTTCTGTTCCCTGCCATCTGCCTATGCTGGGACCTATCCCCAGATTCTCCCCTCCTCTCTCCTCTGACTGAGCCCCACCCATCTGCTCAGCTTCCTTCGTCTGCCCACTCATGACCCCGTCCCTCCCCCACACCCTGGCCCTGCACCTTTTAGGGTGTTTGTTTTTGTTTCTAGAGACAGGATTTCTCTGTGGAGACCAGGCTGTCCTGGAACTCACAGAGATCCTTCTGCCTCTGTCTCTCGAGTGCTGGGATTAAAGGCGTGCGCCACCATGGCACAGCACCATTGAGAGTTGTATGTCCTAAATCCCATGACCATTCTGCCTTGGCCCTCAGTGAGTCACGCCACGCTCTGCCCTTCCTGGGCCCCGCTCTTCTTAGCCCGCCGCGGCTCTTTGAGCTGGGAAGCTTTCCGTGTGCTGCGCCCTCAGACACCCTTCCCCAGGGCTCAGGCGCTCTCTCTGACTTGGCTCTCACGCAGGTACTACCGCATCGCAGCCTTCGGCCACCACTCCTACAGCATGAGGCCAGCCGACGTCCTCTACGACTGCCTGCCGCTCTACCACTCCGCAGGTACGCCTAGGCCCAGGGGCTCGGGCGGGGCCCCCCAGGGACCCTCACAGCCACCTTCCCTCTAGGGAACATCATGGGTGTGGGACAGTGCGTCATCTACGGGCTGACGGTGGTGCTGCGGAAGAAGTTCTCTGCCAGCCGCTTCTGGGATGACTGTGTCAAGTACAACTGCACGGTAGGCCCCGCCTCCTCCCAGGCCCCGCCCACCACACCAGGGCTCAGCTTCCTCTCTCTGGGCTGGGGCGGGGGCGGGGTCAGCGCACACGCCTCCTCCTCTGGCCCTGCCCTTCCTGCTCTGGCTCTGCCTATGGCGCGCATAGGTTCACTCAGACCCCGCCCCTCCTGTTCAGGCTGCACCACCACCTCACCTAGGTCACTGCTTGCTTAGCCAGCTCCACTCAGTTGGCTAGGCCCTGCCTCGCAACCAACCAAGGGTCGTCCTTCGGGCCAGATCTTGCCATTCCTACGGCCCTGATATACCAGGACCCTGTCCCTTCCGGCCAAGCCCCATCATTTGTGGTCAGTCCTCACCCCTCCTTGAAGGCCACACCAACTCTAGGCAAGCTGTGTCCACCATTCATGCTGTGCTCCGTCTAACTAGGTGGTCCTGAACACCTTGAGGGTGGAGTCTCTGTACAGGAGAAGAAAAGGAACCAGCCAGGCAGGGCCCCTGGAATGCAGAAAGCTTCTGTGTAAACTCTTTGGAGTCTCTTACCATTGTCAGCAAAGACATTGCACCTATTTTACAGTCAGGAAAACTGAGGCTGTAATGCAGTGGGATGGAGCCAGGTTATCTGATTTCCTCCAGGTGCTTTCTTCACACTGTTGCTCCCCCGGACCCCCACATGGGGCAGGAGGCCAGGGGTAGGATCAGTTCTCTGGACAGGAGGAGCCTAGGTGAGCGGGTTAAGCTGAGGCAGGACACCACAGCTAGAGTTCTCAAAGCACACACCATGTCCCGAGCTCCTTCACACCATGCCCCGAGGTCCTTCACACCCCCCACCCCCGGCTATGCTCTGGGCTCCTCTGATCCTCAGAACAGCGAACCAGCAAAATTTCCGGGCAGAGGTGCACCGCTGCCCCTGCTCTTCTCCAGCTGAGGTACGAGGCTGCTAGCTGAGAAGAGGAAAGAGCTAGTAGTGTGTGGGTTCTGCGGGCACTAGCAGTTGACAGCAGGACCTAGTGCATGACAGGACCTGTCCAGGCCACATCGCCCTGCATGGCAGTACTGGAGGCCCCTGTATTCTGCCGGCATGGTAGGGTTTTCACCCATCTTGGGGAAAACACTTGACACTAGAGTCACTTGAGAAAAAGCCAGAAGATTCCGGATCTGGGTGGTAGTCATTGCAGAGCCCAGCCCCGATGTCCGAGGCCCTGGGTTCCATCTCCAGCAGCCCCTAGCCCCTGCTGCTGCCTTAGCTCTGTGTTAGAACTCAGGTGAAAACCCCAGGGAGAAAGGACCCGTTAGTTAAGTGGCATCCCACTTGCTGTGCCACCCTGCCTTGGTCTAGTTCCATAAAACTTCATCCCTGTCAGCAGTCCCAACCTCTCACCTCCCAGTGCCTGGTGTTCTGGTGGAAGCTGCTAGTTCACACACCACAGGGCCCTTTAGTTCTGGGAAAGCATCTGGCTTTTTGTTTTTCATCCTCTCTACTCTGGACCTCTGGGTGTGGACAGTGAGGCCACGCCCAGCCTGGGATGGTTGCTTCTCTGCTCTTCCTTTTGCTTGTGTAGGGGCTGGGGTGTTGTCAGTGTCTACTCCTTTCTACCTTTGTTGGTCTGTTTTTTGAGACAGGGTCTCTGTATCTATCCCTGCTGTCCTAGAACTCACTATATAGACCAGGTTGGCCTGGGATTCACAGAGATCCACCTGGATCTGACCATTCCACAACATGTTGAACCTACATCAGACTGCCTGTGGTGAGGCATGCCCTGGTCACAGACTTCCATGACATCCTAGGGTCCCTTTGTCTGGACTCTTCAAAGGTTTTCAGAATCTGCTTACTGTCTGAAGATCCTTCAAAGCCATTTCTGTCAATTTGTGTATCTGTGAAAGACCCTGTTGGGCAAAGGGGCAGTGGGCTGAGGGGCAAAGATGTGAGGGGCAGAGCTCTGAGAGCTGAAGCTATGTTCAACCAAACACTGGAGGCCACTGGAAACCTCACCTCAGGGCTGCAGATGGAGCACCTGGCAGGTGGGACTTTACTTAGCTTCTGAGCCAGAGTCTTACTGGACCCGAGGTCCTCCTGACACATGCAGCGTGAGTGCTGGGATGTGGCACTGCATTGGGCAGACAGTTAGGCAGAAGGTTAGTGAATTGAAAGAGACCAAATCCAGCTGAAGTCTAAGCTTTTGAGAAAGCTGAAGTCTAAGCTTTCTCAAGGACAGGGTTTGAGTTCACAGAAATGGGAATGCTGCATAGGAACAGCTTCAGGTCATGTGACCTAGGGGGCTCTGCCCCACACTCCCTCCCTCCTCTCCTGTTCCCTCCCTCTCTCTCTACCCCACACTCCCTCCTTCCTCTCTTGTCTCCTCCCTCTCCCCGCTTTTGGAGACCAGCTCATGTACTTGCTGTCATGAACTTGCGATGTAGCCAAGGCTATGTGCCCCTTGGTCCTAGTGCCCTGTACTCAGCCCTCCATTTTGTTCGGTTACCCTCTCCACTGGGCTTTTCCTTTCAGTGGGGGGGGGGACACTGCCCCTGTCACTTCAGGGGAGAAAAAGTCCTTTTTCCAACCTTCCATTAAAAGCCCCAGTGAGCTGTGACCCCAGATTGGAGGCTAGGATGACACCTGTCATCCTAGCATTTGGAAGGCTGAGGCAGGAGGATCAGAAATTCCTGGACAGTCTGGGCTACAAAGACCCTATCTCCAAAGTCATGAATGGGAGGGGAGACTGCTTGCCTGGCTTGCCTTGGTTCTGTCCCCAGCACCGCAAAGTCCTCAGTGCTGATTCTCCTTGGCTCACACTGCTTGTGCCCCTCCTGTCACAGATGGTAGCATGTTATTATCCAGATGGCAGGTGGGATGCTGTCTTCCTGTTCCTTTGTGGGAGGTAGGAGGGAGGGGACCACAGCGGTGCTGGCGGGAGGCACTCCCTGTTCTACCTAGCTTGTCTCTGGGCTGCCATGGCTGCTTGGGGACATGGGGGGGGCACACGGGGGACAGGGCAGGAGCCAACCTAGAGCTCAGGTGGCGTGCCTGTGACAAAAGTGTTTCAGCACAACAGTACAGTCCCTGAGGCAGAGACAGGATGTGGAGGGTAGAAGGAGAAATTTGGTTTCCTTGCAGAAGATGGGGAGGAGGCTGTGTGGCTAGCCTGGTTGCTAACCCTGAGAGGGTGACTGCCGTATGACAACTGTCCAGGGTGCCTGGCCAGGCTTCAAGTCCAATTCAGCCTTTTACTACCTCTGTGACTTCCTTGTTATTGTTGGCCTCAGTTTGTCCATCTGTAAAGTGGAGCATGCAGCTATTCAAAAGCCCATCCCAAGTGGTGGTGCAGCCCTTTAATTCCTACAACATGAAGCAGAGATAGGCAGATCTCTGTGAGTTAAATGCTAGCCTGGTCTACATACCGAGTTCCAGGTCATCCTGGGCTACATAATAAGACCTTATGTAAACGAAAGTTAGAAAAAAAAAAGTGAGGGAGGGGGAAAAAGAATTTGAGGATACCCAGGAGTTTACTGGGGGTGACACCCTTAATCTATGAGGCAATGGGCTCTGTATGCGGCCCTGCCCCAAGCTCAGGGTGCCAAGGGACAGCTGCTCCGGGGTGACGGCCCATCCTGCAGGGGTCAGTGCAGAGGAGGAGAA